TCCCGTAAGGCCTAGTTCCCAATAAAAATTTCAGAAACAGAGATTTGAGTTCCAGTTTCACTTTTTATTTAAATAACCGAAGCAACAGCCTTGGCACAGCAGAGGGAAGCTGGGTTGGGGCACGTGAGAGGGCAGCAGTGTGGCGTGATTCGGGGGTGGTGGGGGAGGCAGTGACTAGGTCACAGTGGGCTCCACGCACCCCTATGTCAGTTTCAGCAGTCATGGCCGTGGGATTGGGGGCACTATGGTGGAGACACCAAGTAGTGATGTCTCACCAAGTCCCAGAGGCCTCAGGGATGGGAGCTAAGTCAGCTCCCTCAGTGGCAAGGCCACGGCATCCCAGTCAAGGGTCATGGGGCCCGGAAGGCATTTTCAGCAGCCCCAGCGGCTGCACTGGCAGCTGCAGTTCGCACTGCAGGGTTGGAGAAGACACCAGCAGCAAATTCTTGCTGGGCCTTCTGAAAGCTGGCACCTGTGCGGCGATACAAAGAGTGGATCTGCAAGTAGAGGGCAGAGATTACAGCACGTTCTGGCCCCTGTTACTGCACTCTGACCTAACACCATGACCACCACTCACCAGTCTGCTGCTCTAGCTTTTCCTTCTTGGTTTCCTCTCAACACAGACACATACACACAAACACAGACACCAGAAAACAGCCCCACCTCCAGAGGTCCATTAGTTGAGAACCCACTCATCAGTCTGGCCCTCCCCAGTTCCTCCTGAATGTTCCACCCAGGCCCCTAGGGACACATGATCTCACTCTCCTGGCCCCACCTTCAACACAGCCTCTCACCCGCTTTAGCATCACAATTCCCAGCACAGCGATGCCAGTGAAGAGGAGGGCAACCAGCAGCATGAGCACAGCTACAGCCGGGTGGGGCCCCACCAACACCAGAGCGGAGATCCAGCCACTGTCAGGAGGGGAAAGCATGTGGCAGTGAAGAGGGGCTGCTCAAAGCTGGGTCTCTGTCCTCCCAGCTTCTCCACTGGATATGTCACAAACATGCCCTGTTCCCACCTATCCTATCAGGGGTCGCTCCCCTGTCGGTCTGGCAGCTTTCCACGTACCACAGTCTCAAACTACATCCACTCTCTTCATAGTTTAATTCCAGCTTCTGAACCGTTAGCTCCTAGCTCTCCAAGCTCTTCCAGACATCCTCACTCCAAACAGACCCTTCTGTTGAGGATTCTCCCTGCCCTCTTCAACCACCGTTACGTATGCCTCCTCCAGAAAGCCTTCTCAGACAGTCCATATGCAGCCTTCTTCCCCTCAGTCTACGCCTGTCTATTGTTCCATCGGGGCTCTCTTTATCCTGGAAGTATGTCCTATCTCTCTTGTTAAACTAGCACCTCCCAAGGATAAAAACCACATTTCCTTTCTCTGAACAACTCCTACCCCAGTACCCAGTGCTGACTTGGTCTAGAGGTATGGGAGGAAGGGGTGAGGGTGGATGGCAGCCTCACAGACCTGAAGCCCCAACCTGGGATGCCAATGGCCTGGAGGACAAAGACCACATCCTGGACGAAGAAAATGAAGAAGAAAACGAAGAAATTGAATGAACTGTCACTCCTGCAAGGAGAAAAAATTGGAAGGGTAGAAGAATTAGGGCTGGAGGAGCAGGTTGGGGCCTGTCCAAGGTCCTCCATCACCCCTGCCCCCGAACTTACCGGAAAGCCTTATACATGGGGCGGTACCAGCAGACGAAGGAGCAGGGAGTGAAAAGGAGGATCCAGAGGATGGAGAGTCCGAAGCCTGAGCCATTGCTGGTCTCCACACAGAAACTGGCCAGGCAGGCAAGGAAATTCAGGAGAAGAGCCAGAGTGCTGCCTAAGGGACAGAGGGACAGGACAACAGGTCCTTCTGAACTGCAGTGAGAGCTCCTTTCCATATAAGCCCACCCCACAATCCTCACTAAACATGGCAGAGTAAGGAAAGGAAGGCAGCTTCTGCCTTCACAGAATCCTCAACTCAACAGGGGAGGCAGAGCGAGCCAATCTCAATCATGTGTGATCCCCCCTGCAGACATTTAAAGGATCAGAATACATTTATGCCTGAGGACAAGGGAAAGGGGGAGAGGGTAAGAAGGCTGGAGAATAAATTCTAAACACTATATGAGGAATAACCCAGGAAGATATCTGGAAAAATGAGCCTTAAACTCAAATGTTGAGAAGAGGTGAAGTGTCTAGGTCTAGGTGAGTAGGCTCCAGGGCAGGAAAGATGTACAAGTTACTACCTGTGCTTTTCCTCCTAAAAGGCTTCTCACTACTCACATATCCAGAGGTAGTACATGGTGGATACTGTCTTCTGAAATTCTTGGGGTATCTCCATGGAGATGTCCTGGAAAAAGCAGGGCTGAACTGGGCAAAAAGAAGGTAGAGGGGGCCAATTGTTCCGTTGAGCTGTAAGGCACAAAGAGAGCAGGAGGAACCCAGAAGTGAGGCAGAGACCAAGAAAGGAATCATTCCCCCTTCCTTCCACCCCCTGGTCCTCTCTTCTATCTCCAATTCGGGGTCAAAGGAGAGTGGCAAAAATAATACTAATAGGGAGTGTTTATTATTATTTATAAGTTTTAAGCACTGTGCCAAACACTTTGTATAGAGGATCTTGTTTAACCTTCACAAAAATCTTGTCAAACAGGTACAAACATTATTCTCATTTTACAAGTAAAGAAATTGAGGCACTCAACATGAAGTAACTTGCCTAAGAGCCCATGGTTAGTAAGCGATAGCACCCAAATTCAAACTCAGCCATCCAGCTCCAGCACTCACACTCTTACGTCCTTTTATGCTCCTTTGAAACCGTCGGGTGCCTTCCCCCACCCTACCAAGGATCCACTCACGAGCTGTGCCCCCCAGGGCAGCATGCTGCAGCTCTCGCTCCCTCCGGTCCAATTCTTCTGCCTTCCGGTTGAGCTCCTCCTGCTTCTTCAGCAGCTCAGCTGTGGCTGCTGCAGCTGAAGCCTGCCCAGTTTGAGCAGAAGGAGAAGTGAGTCCTGGGCCCCCGGGCTAGCCCCTCTCCCTACCCCCACCCCCCAGACACCGCCTTCACCTGGGTGCTGTAGGAGCCATAGTTCTTGGGTTCTGTGGGGCTGAGCTTTCTCGAGGACTGCAAGGAGGGAGCCGAGGGTGGAGGCAATGGGGTAGGGGCAGAAGAAGGCTCATAGGCTGGCGGTGGCTGTTGGGTTTGGAAAAGATCTTAGGGATCATCTAGTCGCTCTTAACACAGAGATCTGGTGTCCGTCTGAATACCTTTAGACACAGAACTCATTACAGAAGGCAGTAGCCTCCCTCTCAATTGTTAGAAAGCTAGTTCTTGTGTCTAGTTTATGTCCGAGAACTCTTTTACGACCTGCAGCAGCCCTTATCACACCCCACGTCATCCTTAGCCAGGACTCAAAACACTCATCTACCATATCTACCTCCTTAACTTTTAAACACTCTTACCATTTTCTATTCCAGTAGGACAAAAAGGAGTAGCCCCCCTCATTCCTCCCTTCTAATTGCACACCTAGGCATAGTTTATTTTCTCCTCAACTCCAACCAGCTCCATCCTTTATTTTCTTCAAAGAAGCCTCCCCAGACAGAGACTTGGTTCAGGCCCCGCCAGACTCCAGGTCCTCCCAGGACTGACATTTAGGGCTCAAACCACATGGATCATTGGCCTGGGCGTCTCCAGAAGAACAAGGCATCCCATGGCAGACTAGCCACTCTCAGGGAGCTAAGATCACGGTGTTTCTTTCTTTGCATGCAGAAAAGTCCCCTGCACCCCAGGAGAGTGGGCTCATTGGCACACCCTACCCTTTCTTGCCCTCCAGGATCTCACCTCCCGGGTCTCAAAAGGGTTGTAGATGTCAAGTGTGGCATACTGCGGGCTGGGTCGGTGCTGGATCACAGCTGGGTCCTGCGGGCAGAGAGCTGGGGCTCAGCTGGCACCTGGTGCCTCTGGGGGAACTCACAGGGGCCTCTTGTAACTTGCCGCTGACTCCAAGGACAGCACTTTCGGGACCACGCTGTTGTCCCAACATTTGCCCCCCAACCCTTCAACCTACACCGCCAGTACCAGCTCCTTAGAGGAGCAGGGCCCGCCTCCCAGGTTGCTCACTGGTCTAGAGTCACCATCACCCCACGTGGCGGCCTTTCCCGGGATCAAATGTCAGGAGTGGGAATACAAGTTAGCCCGACCCTCCAGAACCGAGAAGAGTCAACCCAGCCGCCAAAGAAGGCTGGCGCAAGTCACCTGAAAGGGGTTGTCAAGCTCGCCAGGATCGGCGAAGGGGTTTCCACCGTCTCCGCTTTGAGCCATGTTTGCAACCGCGGCCCCAGCCGCCCCCTGCCCTCCACGCCCCTGCCGCGGCAGTGGCGGCGGCTGGCAGAGCTCCCTCCGCTCCTCTCGGTCTGCCCCGCTTCTCTGTGCACGGATTGGTTATACCCACCGGAAGAGTCGCACGGATCCCCGCAGCTGCGGCGGGTTGCGCCTGCGTCTTGGCTAAGTGCAAAGACGGAAGTGCTCCATGTGACACCTCTGACCCAGTCCCCGCCAAGTACCGCCCCTCCCCCACGTGACTTCTCTCCACTAACGAACTACACCTCCCAGGAGGCCTTGCATCAGAATCCCGGTCCGTCCTGTTTCTCGTGATGTACGACGGGAGTCCCTCGACCGGTAGTGGCGGCCTCCCAGAAACCCAGAAGATGAAGTTCTTTACCTAGGTTTCTGGCTCTATCCTCGGGCCTAATGGCTATAGTAGTTGGACCTCTTTCCCAACCTCCTTATTCCAGATCAGAGAAGTGCCACCTTATAACCCTTCTCCACTCTAACCTGCAAGATATCCCACCCATCACTACGCTATGCTCTCCTGAGACAAACTGGACAGATAAACTGGTGGCCAGACTTTGGTTAATTTTGGAGGGTAAGATGGGACTCCCTTCACAACCAAATTCAGAAGATTGCCAATCTTCTCATCCCTCCTCCCCAGCATCCCCAAACCTCAAATTCCAGGGATGGGGGTCCGATGAAGCACGTCATTTTATTTCACAAAGACTGTACAAAATTCCTTATAAAACATGGGATAGGTGCCACCTGGTTACCTCATTCTGCCCCCATCCAACTCAACTGTGAAGGGGGAGGTGAGGGTGGGAAGAGTGTGGGATGGAATAGCGTTATGTACAAGGCAGGAGTTGAAGTGATAGGTACAAGTTCTTTCATATTTACACTATTTCACATATTGACAGGTATATAGGGAGCCAGGAGGAAGGAGTGCGCTCCAGCTCTGTTCTCTTGTATAAAAAAGCACCAGTGTCCTGGACTGGACGCCCACTGCTGTTAGAGATGCAGGGGGGCCCAGGGCCTGATCGTCACCGACTGATATCCCGACTGGAGTCCCACAACTTGGTGCTGGGTGGCTCAGCCCGAAGGCGGGTGAAGAAAGGATGCTGAAGGGCTTCACCCAAGGTCAGTCGCTTAGCAGGTTCATACTCTAGCATGCTTTCAATCAGATCGAAGAGCTGGTGGTGTTCCTCTGCCTCTGAGGTCAGATATCGCTGGTGATGGAGGGCAGGAAAAAGGTGAGGCATGATGCCTTACAAACCCTGCCTTCTTCTTCAAGGCCCTAGCTTTCAACCTTGGAGGATCAAGGCTCTGCTTGCAACCGTTATGAATGCTACCTTAGCACGACCACACCATGACCAACGTTTCTGATATTACAGCTCAACCTACCTTCCCACTAGCACAATTACTCCTTCATACTCTTTGAAAGTTCTCTCTACTTGTATATCCTTGTCAACTTCATGAATCTTCTTTAGCTCCTCATTAAAATGTAAGCTCTTCAAAGTAGTTTATTCTTTTCTGTCTGACCTAAAGAATCCAGGACATTGCTTTGATCTCTGGTGGGCTCAAGAAAGACATAGCTGTCTAACCTCCTTCCCTCCACAAAACCACTCCTTCTTATCTCTCTTCTATTGACCAAAGATGTTTTCTTTCACTTTTCCTCCCCTTCTTTCCTAACCCTCTGCTTGTGAAATGCATTTCAGGGGCAAAACACCTTAAGAAGGAAGTGACCTCTGGGTGGTAGACACTATTTATCCCCAGTCGGGCTCACCCGCAGTGGTTTGCAGTTTTCTCGAACGTAGCGCCCAGCTGATGTGTTCTCATCCCAATCCAGGCGACCCCGATAAAAATATTTCTGCTTCCTAGAGGGGAAGGGGAGGTTGAGGAATCAGGAGGTTCCTCTTGTTGTGGGATAACTCCCTTATTCCCCTATCTGAGAGTAGCTGGGGGGAGAGGAGGTGTCAAAGAAAAAAGAAAATGATGTGATATAGACCAATTTTGTGGAAAGAAAAGGGTAAAGTCCCTCCCACTCAAGGTTCACCTTGTCTTTCGAATCATCCGGGAAGGGATAGGACCCAAGATCCTTTCCATCATGGCTAGATGCTCTCTGTTGTCATGGGTCTGAGAAACAAAGACAGAACTGAGCATGGGACTAGGAAGGGGATGCTGAGGACTAGCTGCCAGGAAGATAAGCAATGTGGAAAAGTAAGCAGGCAGGTCCTCAGCAGTCAACAAGGAAATCAGGTAGGAGAATGCCAGGTGGTCACATAAGACAACCCACCACTTACTTGGAAGAGGGTGAAGCCAACATAGTACTCGAAGATGATGCAGCCTATGCTCCACACATCACAAGGCTGTGACCAGCCCAACTCTGGGTAGGAATCGGAGGAAGAGGGAGTTAAGAGGCTTAGGGGAGGTCCCACCCTCACCACCACACCCCCTCACATACTTGGACAACCTTGTCCTCCCCCCCTTACCGAGGATGACCTCTGGTGCTCGGTAATGGCGAGTGGAGACAATGGTACTATGGTGTTCATGGTCAAAGGTGGCACTACCAAAGTCTACCACCCGCACAGCTGTGCTCTTTACGCTGCGCTCATCTCGCTTCTAGGAGCAAAGCAGGAGAAGAATGAACCTCTGCATCACAGACCAAGATTCTACCACTAATCTCTAAAGTGCTTCAGAGCCTTAAAAAAGCAACTCTCACCTCCTGCCTGCTCCCAAATACGCCGGAGAATCTCCTGCTTTACAGCCTCCCCCATATCTAGCAGAGGGCTTTAGGAGTTGGGGAGGAAGACGATTAAGGAATAATTATGGAATAGCATGCAAGTCTCTAGATATCTGAAGACTATACCCAAGTGACTGGTGTAGCTTTTCTGAAAATATATAACAGGTAAATATAGGGAGGGCGAGCTTCCTCAGCTGGGATCTCCACTATCTGCAGTTAGTCAAGGGAGCTGAGCTTTCCTTACAGAAAAAGAAAAGAGAAAGTCCAAACCAAGAACCGTAAAAGCATTTTCACCCTATTGGAAAGCTAACTGAGGTCTTTTTTCCAAGTTCTCTTCCAATTTAAGTCTTCTTAGACCTCTCCCTTTCAATCTATTCTGGTACTCTGGTTTTACTCAGTCGGAGTCAGAGTGAGAGAAAATGTGGGACAAAGTAGTAAAAGGGAGGACAGAAAGGGCTACGTGAAAGGCCCAGCGGCAAAGCTGCCTGCCCCCACTGGCCAAGGGGTAGACCTGTCCGTCATACCTTCTCTAGGTTGTAGGTGAGCTCGTAGTCTGAATTCACAAACAGAATATTTTCAGGCTTGAGGTCCGTATGTGTCAGCTTGTTATCATGGAGGACTGCAGGGGAGAAGGCCAGGTCAGGGTTGGTCCAGGCGGCCAGGGCTGACTGGCACCAGCTGACCCCAGGCTTGGTCACCTAGCTCAAAGCTGAAGAGGAGGCAGGTCCAGAATCACTAGGCTGCTTTCTGCTCTACATCCAAATGAAATGCCTGGTCTAAGAAGCCCTACGCTTACTACTGTAAGATATGCACATCATTCTCCACTGATGTAAAAAGATAGTTTGCTGTGGGTTGTGCTTTTGTACTGACTTTGACGTATGTGAGTATCTGACATTCTGTGAATTCAACTCTGCGAAAGTGTACTGTTATGGAGACTCAAAAGGAACTATGTACTAGTCTGGATTCTCTATCTGGCCCCTTGGCTGAACTGTACTTCCTGCTCCCACCCACTGTGCTGGGAATGGAGAGCATCTGAGCTCAGACAAATGTAAACGTCTAGTTTGAGGAGTCTTTTTGTCTCTTTGTGCTTGCTGCCTGACTTACACTTTCTCAAGGAAGGGGAATGAAGAAAAAGAGAGGTAATTAAGTGCTTTGATTTCAAAGGCTTTCTCTTCCAGCTCCTGCTAGGTTGGATGTGGAGTAAAGGCAATCAATGATGGTGAAGACATTGGTCAAGGAGTGAAGTCAGAAGAGATGTCAACATGACAGTGAATAAAAGGACTGCAGATAACGGAGTTGACTGTTTAGGGGCTTCACCAGTGCACAACTGAGACAGAAGAGGTCCAATGGAGGGAGGGGCTGCCCCAGAGTCCGCCTTGGCCCGCCCCACTCACACTTGACGGCCTGGCACAGCTGGAAGGCCATGTGGCGCACTTGGTGGATGGGGTAGGGCAGGTAGTTGTTGTCTTTGAGGAAATCGAAGGTGCTAAGGCCCAGAAGCTCAAAGGAGATACACATGTGGCCATGGTAGTCAAACCAGTCAAACATCTGGACACAGAGGCTGGGAAGAGAGATGGGGGAGGGGGATGTCTGATGAGCTCCCATCTGCCCACCATCCCTCCAAGGAGGGACTGCCTAGCTGTTGATTCCACATACTTGTGTAAAAACATGCCAGCTAGTATTGCCTACCCAAGAAGACAGGTACTACCTGCCAAGCTTCAAACCATTTTCCTGCAATATTTTAAATAGTTAAAAAAATTCTATTTGCTGAAGAGTTATTGAGTGCCAGGCTCTAGTGTGCACCCTGAATTGTCAAACTGTCACTCTTAAATCCCTACCCCAACTCCCACTCCTGAAATTCACTCACCATCAGCAACCATTGGGTCCATGTTTATACCTAGTGTCTTCTTTTGTCTTTGTTTAATGCTGTTATTCTGTATTTGCCTTATGAATGTGTGTCAACAGAAATATTACATATAAACGTCTGTGGCCTCATCAGCACAGTTCTAGTCATTAAAAGCTCAATTAATTTTTTGATGAAAATGTTGATTCTCAGTCTCAAGGCCATTTCCAGGGCATATCCCTACACAGGCCATCCTGGGCGGGGGCCAAACTGCAGAGCAATCTAAATGCCCTGAAAACTAGGGGAATATGGATCAGAGAATGTCACAGATCCTCCCTCCCTGCTCTAATGTTCTACTACTCTAGGATGATGAACAGAAGATGAATGGATGAGAAGGCCTAGGACTCTGCTGCCTGCCAAACCCAGGTGTGGAAGGTATTCCTGTGCAGGGGTGGAGCCTCTCAGACTTCCCACACTCCTTTGCTTGCTTACTTCTTGTTGTCAGGGTCCTTCTCATTGATTTTCTCCAGCACGTTGATTTCAAGGCGAGCTGCTTCCTTGTACTTTTCCACATTCTTAATGATCTTTAGGGCAACTCGAGCGCCCCCCCTGTAGGTTGGCAGAAAAAGCTTTTGCTGGGTTCTCAAGAATATCTCAGACTGAATGGGGCTGTCTGGGGATTAAGAAATCCTACCTTTGGCCAATCGGCAAAAAAGCTCCAGATAACCCTCACTACTTCTTTATGCCTAGCAGGTGTGGAGTAGAGAAGGGGCTGACAGTTACCTGCGATGGTCAACACATTGTACGACTCGGCCAAAGGTCCCCTCTCCCAAGGTGCTTACAATTTCATCTGAAATGAAAAAGAGCAGGGTCGGGGAGAGGGAGGGAGAGAAGATGGGGAATGAGCTGAATTGGAAGAAAAAAGGGCACAGCAACCTGGGGTGAGATGAAGGAAGGGGGAACAGATACAGATGGTCACAGGGAAAGAAAACCCCTGAGTGATTCCCACCACCTTTAACCCAGGGGCCATGAGAGCTGGGAGTGGACAGCAGAGGTCAATTCTCAACAGCAACTCAAACCACCCAGATAGACAACACCACTGAGAAAAGGCAAAAGAGGCTGTGACTTGGGTTGGCTCGGGACGTTAAGATGGCTATGGGACCATTACAGGCTATAGTATTGTTACGATTTGGCTTGTACATCGCTCTTGTAGCCAGTCCCCGACGTGGTAGATGAGGTGGCCCTCAGCGTCGTCCTCTACACTCTTGGCTCTCCGGCTGCTGTGCTGCTGTCGGGGGGCGGGGGGGGTCGGAGCAAGCCAGGTGTCGGAGCGGGGGCCGGAGGGAGGCGGGGTGGGTGGTGGAGGGGTCACCGGTCACAGGCGCCCAGCCAGGGGGGACAGACGATGATGGGGGACAGTGGAAGGGAACACGTCAGATGCAGTAAGGAGGATCGGGGTGAGAAGAGAGAGCGGCGCATAATCCCAAGTCCCAAACCCAAAACGGGAACAGGGAGAGGAACGGGCAGAGCAGAGAAGTGGTGTCGTTGCCAATGTCACCCACAACCCCATGCTCTACACAATGCCCTTCCAAGTGGGCAGTGATCTCCCCTTGCCCCCACCCAAGCCCACCTGCTGAGGGGGCCATGGAGCCCAGGGCTTGCGGGAGAGAGGCAGTTCACAAACAAGGTCCCCCTTAGAGTAGAGGCCTCCGGGGCGGAAGAGCTGCTCCCCACACAGTAAGGCCAGCATGCCAGGGAGGGCACTGGGATTCACAAATGGTCTGTGCCCATCCATCTCCAAAGCAGATTCCAGGGCTCTCCAAGAGTTGGAGAGCTTCCAAGAGAGTAGACAAACTCAGCGCCCACCTCAGTGTTCATGCCCCAATGCTCAGCTGAGAACAAGGATACTTCTCACTTACCAGGGTTCTAGAGGGCTGAAGAAGGGTGGGGAGAGGAAGGGCCTGGGGTGGCACTCACCGAAGATGAGCGGCTGAATGTCCGGCTGCGCCGCCTCCGCCGTCTGTGCTTCCTCCGGCTGCTGCGCTGGCTGCGGTAACTGCTGTTCTCCCGATGATATTCGTAGGAATGCCGGTAGTCTGCATCATAGTAGGCTTCTCCTCGATCCCGGCTGTAGTCATTGCGCCTATAGCTGCCACAGTATCGCCGGTCATATGCCCTCCGGTCCGAAGAATGGTCATCATAGCTGCTGTTGGACAACAAACACCCATTAGGTACATCTGTTCAAGCCACATTCCTTGCCACACCACGTGACAAGGTCCTCCCTCAGTGAGGACAAAAAGTAATGCTAGAAAAACAGCTCTCAGACACTTATCAAGTCACTCTGAGAGGACCAGAGAAGTGAAGTAACTAAGCACAGAGGAGGACCCCCGACCTGCATGTCACCACGACCTCTGAAAAGAGATCTGCAAAAGAACGCCCTCTGGGGGCCTCTTGCTCCTCTCCAGTGATTCAATCCAACAAAGAGCCTTTCCTGACTGACATTTAGCTTTGCTCCAAACTATCCCTAACCCATCCCTCCTACTGAATATGCCCCTAAGTTATGAAAACCATGCAGATCTATTTGTCTTGTCTATTAGCTCATTAGCTACCTCTGGCCCCTAGTCTTTTGCACTTGCTTTCCCTTTGCCTGGGACACTCCCCCTTTGTCCCTCAGACAAGCTTAGATGTCACATTCCCCGGAAAGCTTTCCCTCAACTACACATCCTGCCCTATTCCAACCAAACCTGCTGGATGCTTCCTCAGCCCCTTACTATATACTTCCTCTACGGTAACACTCTCAATACCACAGTGCAAATGGCTTATTTTGCCATCCATCTGGAGCATCATCTTCACCCAGCTGTGTAGCATGTAACCGATAAATCCTTGTTGAACAAATGAATGAGTGAGTGACCTTGAATATGAATTTCTCTTCCTGAGGCCTCACCTCCGGGAACGGACATGGTAGCTGTCTTCCCGCCGGCGCCGCCGTGTCCGGTCACTGCTACTTGACCAGGAGCGGCTTCTTCGTCTCTTATGCTTTCGGCTCCGATAGTGTTCATGGTAACTCCCCCGGCTGCCTCGCTCTGAGGAGTGGTACCTTCGGGGATGAGGCATCTGGAAGGGAAGGAAAAGTAGAAATAGAGAGAAAAGTTCTGAGTTTTCACAAGTCTCCTCCGAGGACTGGCTGCTCCAGAGATGCTAAGCTGCTTTCTACTTTTATCTCTACTTCTTTTTACCACCCCCAACTTCCTTCGTCTTCCTCTGTGCCTACAATTCCTCCTTAATGGAATATATATTCACCTACTACTCGGGCTGAAAACTCTAAGAAGTTTCCCCTCTGCCCCCAATCTCTTAATTACCCCCCACTCAGCTCACTGCTCTACTCTGATTTTCCTCAAACACGGCTCCATGAAGACCTTCAGGTCTGGGCCACAGCTCATTACAAGTGAGATTGTGTAACTGATGGACACTGCTGGGATCCAAGATACATCTGTGCTATGCGGAGTTCCTCACAACTCAACAGAGTAAAGCTTTAGTATACACTATTACGATACATATTATCAGCCATTAAGTGTATCTTATCTCAACTATACCATCCGTGTCCTGAAGGCAGGAATCCAGTTTACTAGGTCTCTGCATATAGAAGTGAATACCAAACATAAGCAAGTTCCAGGGATCTGAGCCTAGCCCTTTGAACTAACTTAATCATCTCTCACATCTCTGGCCAAAGCCCCCCTTGAGAAGTTTTAATACAGGAGGCCCCAAGCTGCAGTCAGCTTCCCATCTGGCCTCGCAGAATAACTGGTTTTTAATTAATATCAGAACTACTTGGCTAAAAGCTGGCCCCTTTCCAGTTATTGGAATGCCACGGTGCACAAATCCCTTTTTTCCTTCAAGGAAAGAATCAGAGAGAAATGACCGTCACAATCCAGGAAAATGAGAACTGGAGGGCAGAATAAAATGAAATAGGCCCAGGGACAGGAGGCTTGGTGGGGGATAGTGAGAGGATAAGGTGTGGAAAAGGCTTTTAATGACTTCTACATCTGGCTCCCATTCTAAGCTACTTCTTCCCAACCTCCTTAAATTGAGGAGGAGGGTGACATTTGATTCATTCCTGACCTAACAGGGCTTGCAGAAAAACAAGAAGATGTAAGTACAAGATTCTCCCAGGTAATCCAACCTTGTTAACCATAACCACATAAATATCGCCATATACATACTGCCACCAAGGTTCCTCACAGGCCTCTCCCCAACCCAAAGCATCTCCCACGTACAACCTTCTCAACTTCTAAATCTTCTTTTCCCCTTCTCACTCAGAAAACCCAGAACTCACTCCTAGAGTCAAACTTTTTCCATAACCTCCAAGTGACACGGTGGTGTCTTCCCCCTCTCCAGCCTTCAGCCAACTTCGATATTCTGCTCTTTCTCATCTCTGAAGCCACTCCTATTCCTACTCCATCACCCCTTCTCCTACTCTGGTCCCTCCCAAGTTTCCTATAGGTCTTCCCGGACACATCTAAGGCAGGCTAATCTTCCACCTCATCTCCCTACTCCTCACCTCTGCCGATTCGCTTGTCTCAGCCCTCCCCCTTTCCTAATTCTCGCCCCGGTCCCTTGTCCCCAATCCAATCCTATCCCCCGCCCGCCCCGCGGCCGCCATCTTTCCGCGCGGCCCCGCGGCCCGCCAGCCTGCGCGCTCACCGTTCTGGCGGCGAGGCCCGTGCGCTTGTCCCACAGGAAGTCCGTGATGGCGGCGGCACTGCGGCCGGAGTCCCGGCACCCCCGCGGCGACGAAGTGCGACTCCACCCCCTCAACCCGAGACCCTGGGACCTCCCGCCTCGTTCCCGGGCTCCGCTCCAGTCCCGCCCGCCCCGACTCCGTCCCCGCCCCCAGGCTCCGCTTGGCGCCGCTCGCACCGCCCCCGCCCGGGGCCCGATCCCAGCTCGGTCTCCGGCTCTGGCCTCTCCGATCCGTCGCCGCCACCGTGAGCGAGCACGTACGTACGTATGCACGCCCTGCGTCGCTTCCCAGCTACCCCTGGGCTCCGCCTCCAGGACCGCGCACGCCACCGCGTCCTTGCGTAGCTCGCGGGCGTCCGATGGTGTGAGCGGAGGAGGTGCTGGGGCAGGGGTTCATGGGGGCGGGGAGGGCGTCGCCGGGCTCCACAGGCCTGCTCCGCCCCGCCTCGTGTGCTTCCGTATTCGTCTGTCTTTTACCCTTTTCATGCACTTCTGTGGGTTCCTTAGGTTTGGAGATTTAAAAGAAAGGTTTGTCATTTATGGGGTGTCGCCGCTCGCCAACTTTTGAGGCTTGGCGGTGAGATCTGATTGTCCTGCATAGCCTGTAAATATCTAGTTCTTAAAACAGATCGGCCACCTAACCGCAGCAAGGAGGGGCTCCCACCTTTTGTCCTGAACAAAACCTGTGCACATGTGGAGTCAGGGCCATGGCCATGAGGAAACGTTTGGGAAGTGGAGGGATGGAGATTTGGGTGCTAAAAAGGGGAAATCACTTGAGAACTGTATGTTATGTACTTATACATAATATATGAGATGTGTAATTGAAAAAAAGAAGAGGAAAGAGAAGGAGACCTTGAGACAAATTGGGCAGAGTTAGAGATGCTATATAAGGAATTGAGAAAGGGAAATGAAAAAATAACCTGAGGCTAACTATATTAAAGTCAGGGAATATCAGAAGGGAGCTGGGATGGAGGATAGTCAGATGGAGATTAGACCAGTTGGCCAGAAATGGTTTAGGAAAAGTTCCCTGAAATAGAAGAGGAAGGGTAATGAAGGAGTTGAGAGGAAAGAGTGGGGAGTTCACTTCCTTCTCCATGAACACCTTCCCAGATCATTGATTCATTCAACAAGTGCACAGCTCCTGTTCTTCAGCGCTTCACAGTGTAATGGGAGAGAAAGAGCTGTAAACAAATAGTGGCAGCCTGTGACAACAGCTGTCATGAACAGTGGTGCCCTGGCCACTGTAAGAAAGCTCTATTGGGCCGGCCCCGTGGCTTAGCGGTTAAGTGTGTGCCCTCCACTACTGGCGTCCCGGGGTTCGGATCCCAGGCAGGCACTGACGCACCGCTTCTCTGCCCATGCTCAGGCCACGTCCCACATACAGCAACTGGAAGGATGTGCAACTATGACATACAACTATCTACTGGGGCTTGGGGGGAAAAAAAGGAGGAGGATTGGCAG